AATTTGTATTTTTGTTCTCTACCGCCTCTCTTTCCTTTTTGGTTGTCTTGTATGAACATTTATCAATGAATTGGATCTTTAGTTTAAACTAAAGAAGTAGGTTCATGGTGATAGTTTCTGACAACTTGAAACCTCTAGAAAGTGACAATTTATAACTGTTTTTAAAAAATTTAGGTATCAATTAACCAAAAATTACATGATTTATTTATTTATTTTTTAGTTTAGGAACTTACTTGAAATTTTTTAAATAGTTTAGGAAACAACTGAGTAATTTCATTACTGTTTATTGTTTGTTTATAGTAAATGTGAATGCAGATGGATGCCGAAGTTATCTCTGCTGGGATACTGAGGGAGGTGTTGGTGGCGGGTGAGTTGAGCATACATGAAATTCGGACTCAGATGGGTGTGGCTACTGCTCATTTGCTGCACGAGAGTTTGCGTGTGAACAATATCCCATCCAGAATAGATATTGTGGATGATGACAATGCTGCTGCATTCAGAAAGTTCTGCCTCACTTACTATGACATCAGAGCTTTAATTCTGGATCTGACTTTGAAGCTTGACATGATGAGACACCTTGATTATCTGCCCAGATATCAGCAACAGATGATTTCTCTGCAGGTTATGAAAATACATGCTCCTCTTGCTCATGCTGTGGGAACTACCTACTTGTCCCTGGAATTGGAAGATCTCTCGTTTCAGTACTTGTTTCCTTATTCATATCTTTATGTGGATGCATGGTTGCGAAGTCATCAGACTGGGGGTATATCTCTCATTGACATCTACAGGGAGGAACTGCTCCAAACTTTGAAGGCTGATCCCTTGCTCATGAAACTTGTGGATGATGTCTCGATCAAAGGCCGATACAAGAGTCGATATAGCACGATGAAGAAACTGTTGAAGGATGGTCGGAAGGCAGAAGATGTGTATGATGTGCTTGGAATGCGAGTGATATTAAATCCTAAGCGTGGAGAGAATACGTTGGAAGCTGGAGAGAGAGCATGCTATAGGACTCATCAGATCATCCAATCCATGTGGAAGGAAATCCCTAACCGAACAAAGGATTATATTGCTAGGCCCAAAGCAAATGGATATAGAAGTTTGCATATGGCAGTTGATGTGAGTGAAAATGGTAAGACCAGACCATTGATGGAAATACAGATAAGGACAACCGAAATGGACAGGCTAGCTGTTGGTGGAACAGCAGCCCATTCATTATACAAGGCTGGCCTTACTGATCCTGAGGAGGTTAGTATCTTCTTCTTTTTCACAAATGAAAATATCAATGTTTGTCATAGAGCTGCACACAAAAAATTAAAAGCAATGTCATTTTTGCATTACTAAAAACCAATGAGAAATGACTAAACTACACATGGAGACATTGAACTTATCTGTATTATTTTTTTGTCTTATTGAGGGACCATAAAGAAGGAAATTGGCATTTAGTTTTTATTTGTTGATGTTCAGGCAAAACGTCTGAAGACCATCATGCTGGCTGCAGCTGAATTGGCTGCGCTGCGCCTTAAAGATTTTCCTACTACAAACCATAAAGGGATTGAGATTGACCAGAGGGATAGAGTGTTTCGCCTTCTTGACAAGAATGGAGATGGTAAAATCAGCATTGAGGAACTTACAGAGGTGATGGAGGAGCTTGGTGCACCGGGAGAAGATGCCCGACAGATGATGCAGCTTCTTGACTCAAACAGTGATGGTTCCCTCAGCTCTGACGAATTCCATATGCTCCAAAAGCAGGTGATTTGATAACTTGTCTGCATCTTCATGCCTTTTAAAAAAAATTATTTAGTCGTGTAGAGTTTCTTAATCCCACTCCCACTATCAGATTTCCAAAGCTTTTACTTCATGTTCATGGTGAAGTTTGAAAATTAGAGATATATAGATTCATACCTGATTTCTCATCAGCTTATAATTGGTCCAAACTAACTCTTATTTTGGTCTGAATGTACAATTTCTGTCATTTTTATGATATGATGCTGGTTGATGGCCTATCATGGAGATCGTGATAAATGCTTACTAAATCTCGTCTTATCTGTGGTAATTTAAGTGACATTTTGATTTTGTTGTAGGTTGAATTGGTGCGTAATTTAGAGGACCGAGATGATCAATACAAGAAAATATTGGATGAAAAGCTTCATATGGCAGATGACAGTGGTTTAATTCAGGTATATAACAAGGAGTTTGGCAACAGGCTTGTGAGCTAGTGCTGCATCTATTTGAAATAAATAATGAATAAAACACTCTTGTATTATCATTAAGTTAGAGCAACGTGTAAGTGATGTATTTTCCATGTAAATTAATTTATGGCATAGTGAAATTCCTGTGATTAAGAAATTGTTGTAAAATCTTGTTTCTGGCCTCGTGATATTTCAAACTGGAAGTTCTAATCCTGCATATAAAGAAAAAGACCTTTGATGGATAAAGTCACTCGCATTTCACAACCTTGTAAGCCTATGAGCTATATCAATATACTTGATTGACTGATTCGATTATTCATTGTGTTATGAATCTATACGATAATCATTTAATCAAATGACAAGAACCTTGCATGAGGTAAGGTCCAACCAAGGTGTCTGAGAGTCTAACAACTAACAACTTATTAAGTGGCTATGATTCACTTTGACTGATTATTGGAGTAATAATACTAAGCACAAATTCCAGAGTATGCAACTAACAACCTAACAGGATTTGAGGAAAGATGGTTTGCTAATTGAAGTGCAGATATGAAGATCATATGACAATTTGTAACTTCTCTCAAACTTTTAATGGTGGCAAACATGACATCAAATAATTACAAACCAGGCATGATGTTCTTTAGACCGTTTAACACAATTTCACCTCAGCCACACAGATAATGAACAAAAGAAGTGACCAAAATGGATCCTTAAAGTTTAGTTTTAATTCTAAAATGCATTTGACTAGTCCAACTTCAACGGCTAAATGACAAGCTCGCGGGCTGCACCCAACACTTATATCTAACACAAAGAATCATATAAAATATAAAACAAATTTTCGACTAGAGTAGAGGGTGTGCCAGGCCCAAGCAGTAGTGCAACACAAGGGCGACACCCGAAAGACCCAGTAGCAAGCTACTGTAATGGACTCTCCCCTTCAAAAAAATAATTTAATATCGTATGAACCGATGGTCCACATATCAGATATTAAACTGATAAGAACAGATACTACACTTGATCTTAGCCAAAAGGCCGAGAAAGGTATGAGTTGCAATGTGTTGAGATGTTCATTTTATTATAAAACATCAAAGTCATTGGTCTCTCTTCTCAAGGATGTGGGACTTTTTCATCAAAATAACTTTTCTATTACGTTCAGGTTTTGCTCGCATTCGAACCTCAGATTACGGATTTACGGGTGCATGATGATGTAAGCATATTCATTTTTTCATGATTGTTGGACCATAAAACTGATGATCCTGAAAAGAGCGAATAGAAAAGAAATATCAACTTTGAGTGGTTTTGAGACGGGATGTTCTTGCTCTTGGTGAATGAGAAAACCGATAACAACACTTCTAAATCGAGGTCTGTAAACAACACTTCTCTTGGGGATATGAAGGGTCTCTCCTCATTTGGTCTTTAATAAATCAAGCAATTGCAATGTTTTTTATTATGGTAGAACATGGGGTACTCACTTTCCTCCTGAACAAAACCATCCAACTTATGATACAGTATTAATTGATTCCCAGATCTCATCTACGTTGCATATATTGCACAATTTTTGTGTCTTGTTTCAAAAATTAGTTTACTTATGTAGAGTTTCATAATGATCCCATCATAGATTGCCAAAACTTACTTTCTCACTACGTGTTCATGGTTGAAGAACATAAATTGGTACCTAGTTTGATTCAAACTAATTTTATTTTGGCATTTGATTTTGTTGAGAGGTTGAGTTAGTGCATAGATGATCAATACAAGAAAATATTGGTTGAGTTATAGCTACGCACCTTCCTTTGCGTGAAACATGTTTAATTTTGGAAGTTTTCAGGCAACTATATTCCCATGTTTTGAATGGGAACCTAAAAGCCAACTCTGTACTCTAAGCATGTTGTTCAATTGCTTTTGACGACGTAATTAAATCAACCTCTCCCAACGTTAAACTGCATTCCTTAGTAATTATTATTACATCTGAACTACTTTTTTGTTTGATATGTGCATGGTTCCCAACACACCACATAAACGACAAAATAAGAAAGAGAGATGAATTTTCCCAAACATGAGGGTTGTGATGAGTGTATTATACTACATTAAAAGGTCAATTTTAATTGAAATGTCTTGTGAACATGTTAGACATTGAAATAAAGTGGCCCGTTTTGTAATCACTCTAATTAGTGGATATCTAACTATTCCTTTGTTAGAATATATAATTTTTTTAATAATATCTTGTTATAGTGATTTAGAATATCTTGGGATTAATTTTTGTATTTCCTTATTATTTGATTTGTTTCTTCTTTTTATAAAATAGGATTATTATATTATACTTTATGTTCATTATTACATCATAACATATCCAATATATATTAAGGGTTAATTTGAACAAACTTTGCTATAAATATTCATACGAAAAAAATAATCAAGTAGGTAAAACAAATAAAACTTCTCCCAAGAATTAACTTGTACGCATCAACTTATAAAGAAATTAAATGAAGGAATTCCTCAAAAAATTGAAACGCAGGAGTTAATTTTTAATTTTACCTCTTAAAATTATTTTATTTTCCTCTATATATATATTTTTAAAAATTTTTACTCAAACTAGCTTAATCAATATCAATTTGATAAAATTCAGTCTCTTTTCTGTCCTCTTCTTTTGTCGATGCTCAAATCTCTATGGCTTAAACAATTTAATTAATTATCCAAAGTTTTAATTAATCTTTTCGTTTGATGGTTCGTAAAGTTCCACGATATGTATACAAGGCCATAGAAAAAACTGAAGCTGATTTAAGAAAAAATGCCTTTCAGATTCACTATACAAGGAGAAGCCATCTTTCGGGTTCAACCATTCGATGGATTACTCAATTCAAAATTGATGCCATCACTATCTAACCTTTGTACATTTTTCTCTTATTCTTTAATGCATTTTAGAATTGGTTTTCATATCATCTGTGTAGCTATCCCAACTGAGCAAAAAAATCATAACCTACACATTATCTGACTTTTAATTCCCTGCTTTGCTCACTAGTGCTTGCATGGTGGAACACCCAAATCCTTCAATAATCTCTTGCATAACTGCAAAGTATGAAAAAAAAATATATGTAGACATCATCAGTCCCTGATTTTAGAAGGAGAATATAGAAAGAGTGAGTATCAATAAGTACCTTCTTATATGCAGAACCATCTCCATAAGACTTCCTTAATTCTACTACATACAATGATGTGCTTATTTCAAACACCTGTTATATTTGAAACAAAGTTAGTTTCTTAGCATAAGCAAAATACGCAGATATTAAGATATAAAGATTAGTTTAGAATTAATGAATGCATTACCTCTATTGCCACTGAGAGGCAGCCAAGTGTTTTGTGCTCCTTATTCTCTTGTATCACTTTCAACTGAAACATTGACGTTATATTTTCTTTTAGCTAAACTAACGTTTTGCTTATTTGCAAGTTTGTTGGAAATAGAAGCAGCTTTAATAGAACATAAGCAATAGTACTAACTACTAACTTTGCCATTTTTCTTCTGGACTCTAAATTCCATTTCTGTCACAGTGTCCTCAATTTTCTCAGTCAGATCTTTAACCGAAAGGTTTGATGTAAATCTTATCTTTCTCTCAGAGACATCCTGTAACTCAAGCCACGTTGTGCATTAAAATGAGTTAAATTTTAGGAGGTGGTGAATGTCCAAAGACACATGAAATTATGCTCAAAATTTATTATAGTACAAATTCCTTGCTTACTCACCTCTTTCTCAAAAAAGCCAGAGAGGTCCAGGCATGAAGACATCCCTATCAACTGAAATGCATTGATAAGGGTTGGTGATCCTGAATTCCTCTGTTCTGCTTCGTTTGGCTATTTACCATGAGAATAGTTTTAGATTACAACAGAAAAAATATATATATATATATAGGAGGGGTGGAAGAACACTAATACAATACCTCTTCATGGGTGGAAAAGGCTTCATTATCAACATATACATCCTCATCCTCAGGATTTGCAGGAACATAGCCCTGCTTGAACCATGGATCTTCTTTGATCCCAGCCATCGTTATCCGTGTTTCGGGGTTGGGATCAAGAATCCTCTGTAACATGTTTTGTGCACCAGGTGAAAGCCATTTTGGTATCTGAACATCTCCTTTAAAAATCTGTTATCCATCACAGACCAAAAAAAATGAGAATTAATTTATAAAACTTTATATATTAACAATGTGAAAGGAGAACATAGAGGCAAATATGAATATACCTTCTGATAGAGAACTACAAGGTTTCTATCATCAAATGGTAGGTATCCTGTTAGGATTACAAACAATATAACACCACATGACCATGCATCTGATGTTGCACCGTTATAGCCCTTATTAGCAAGAACCTCTGGTGCAACATAATTTGGACTTCCACAAGTTGTATGCAGCAATTCATCTCCCTAAAAATTCAGTGTCATTACATAAGCCAATAACCAAAATAAAATGCTTTACAGTAAGGTGTGGTTCAAAGAATGTCATCGTACCCTAAGATGCTGAGGTAAAGCACTAAGGCCAAAATCAGTTATTTTTAGGCTCCCGTTGTTATCCACTAGTACATTCTCAAGCTGCAAAGACATAGCATCACTTGTGTGTAAAATGCAAGACATGAACCATGTAGTGCAATTTCAACATGAAAAGGGAGAGAAAGAACCTTGAGATCTCTGTGGAAGACACCTTTACTGTGGCAGTAGCTCACCCCATCAATCAACTGTTGGAACAACTTTCTGCTTTCACCTTCTGTGAGTTTACCTTTGGATGCCTGTAAATAAAATTAACTTAAGGCCAAAATCAGTTATTTTTAGGCTCCCGTTGTTATCCACTAGTACATTCTCAAGCTGCAAAGACATAGCATCACTTGTGTGTAAAATGCAAGACATGAACCATGTAGTGCAATTTCAACATGAAAAGGGAGAGAAAGAACCTTGAGATCTCTGTGGAAGACACCTTTACTGTGGCAGTAGCTCACCCCATCAATCAACTGTTGGAACAACTTTCTGCTTTCACCTTCTGTGAGTTTACCTTTGGATGCCTGTAAATAAAATTAACTCATCAAATGCCATCGGTAACAGAAAAAAAAAAAAAAAAAGTTATGCATTACGTTTTATAATAATTATCTCAAAATTCATATCAGTTTTTATTTATTGTAACTGTAAAATGATAATGTATGACTATTAAGTTCTAAAAATTAATGTTCTCTTACAATTTTGTTGAATAACTCTCCTCCATTGACGTACTCAAGTACCATATAAATTTTTGTTTTGCTAGCCAAGACCTGCGTAATTATAGTTGTCAATGATACAAATGCATGTTAGAATTGCAAGTTGCAGAGGCAATAGATTACTTTAATGCGCAAGGGACCAACCCATAACATATTTCTATACAGAGTCACAAGCAATACAGAGAGGGAAAAAAATTGCAGTCAACTGTGTGCCGTACCAATTGCATTCATACACTGTATATGGTGGGACCATCGGATTTTAATAAAATATGTGTTCATCAATGGTTTTTTTTTTTATATAATTAGAATAGTTTTTTTATTCGGACATTTTCATAATTGGGATGCAATGGAATTGAATCCAAATGAGCACCTGTGCCACATGTTAATCATTCAGTCACTGCCTTCATTGGGTAATATGATTATGAGGTGGAATCCACGCGAGAATGCATAGAAATTACTAAAATTAGGACAAACGATTAACAAATTAAATTTTGCTTTCATTTTTTACTCAATTCAATGCTATGAATATGCCACATATGACAAATCAACATATAGTGAAATAAAATAAAAGTTTTTGTAGTCCAACCACCGTCCGTTTCATTTAATTAATCACTGTGATATCGGAATCCAGGAATGATTGGTGCTTTGATATCAAAAAACCCACTTCCATGAACTCTGCTAAACTGAATAATGAATATTCAATTCGAATTGTCCACATAAAACGTCGGAAAGGTAGAGTCATAAAAGATATAATAACGTAGGGTTTGCTATCTTCCATGTGCAGTGCATTAAATTAAATATATACTTTTTAACAACGAGTGCCATCATTCAATATTTTAATCTTAAAAAAAGTAAATGATAAATAAATTATAATTTAAATAATATTTTTTACTTAATAACTTTTTCTAGTTTTTAACTACTTATGATAAAAGAAGAATGTTAAGAATATATATATATATAT